TATCTAGCGGGTCTGCTCCGTCACATATAATATCATCACGGCCCACCTCGAGAAACCATGCAAGGTTCTACAAACAGATTATGAGGATGTCTCCTGTGCTACACCAACCTGGGCTGCGCGAAGGACACGGTCCTTGATCATGTAGCCGGTTTTTTTGGCAATCTATTACGGTTCCCGGCTCTTTGCCTGGTATTGGAGCCTGGTAGAGGGCATCGTGACGATTTGGGTCGAAGACATCGCCTGTGGGATCAAAAGGCTTGACATGATACTTGAATAGTGTCTGGAGAAGCTGGCGCTGGTCAACTCGACACCAGTGTGTAGCTCTCGGAGATACTCTTCTGGTGTTTTTGACAGGGAGGAAGGGGAAGGGGGCTCGGAGGAGGAAGGTTCTGGAGGCTGGACCGCAGCTGGGGAATAGACTTGAGTGCCAGCGCGAGAACATCTACTGTTTCTAGCAGGTCGGATGCGAAACGGGAGATGGCAAAGTCGCGCATTTGCTCCTTTTCCCGGCAGCATTGCGCTGGAGGTTGAGAAAATCTGCTTGGAGATACCGTAGACGGCCCTATGGGACCAGTCAGATTGAACACATTTGTCAACGACGGAATAACGGACCATCAAGTCGGTAACCTCTGCCTCCTTTGCTTTTAGCTTTACAGCCTCTGGCGAAAGATTTTCAGACTCGGCGGAAGACTTTTCAGAGGCGGGTGCGTCTTTTGTGTCCGCGGTGACCTCGTCCTGTGCCGGTTTTGCGTCTGAGTAATGCCGCCGGGGTTGGGAGCGGACGAGAGCAGAGGAACGGGCGAGCGACCTGGACGACAGTGAAGCCGTGCAGGCGCGTAAGAGTTGAAGGGCACCCGAGCTCATCGTCGTGGGTCAATGTCGTGAGTGGTGACACTGACTGTTACGGAACAAGTAGGACGAATTTTTTCTGGGAATAGGCGTGGGAAAGTAAGGCAAAAGGGCACGGATAAACCCCCAGTTTCTTCTTGAACACCTCGGATAAATTTGCCTGACTCGACCAGGACAGGAGCCTATAAAGTAAAGGACAACGAGGACAGGTTGCCTCTGCAATGTCTCTCCAAATAGCCAGGCGGCACTGGTCCGCCGCCTGCCAATCTCGGGCCGGCATATCCCGAAAGGGTCTATACCATCCATGCGTTTATCTTACTTGTTCTCGTACCATGGCCTCCACTGCGACTCGTATAGACGGCACTGCACTCGCAAAGTACGTTCCCCGTCTTTAATACCATTTATTCTTTTATTTATCTTTTATTCAGATCTACTCGTGATGCAGTCGCCGCCCGCATCAAGACTATCCAGCAGTCGTCCCCTCGTTTCCAGCCTCAGCTAGCCATCATCCAAGCTGGCGAGCGCCCAGATTCGACGACGTACGTCCGCATGAAGGCCAAAGCTGCAGAGGAGGTCGGTATCACTTTTAAGCACATTGCACTCCCCGCCACGGCCACCGTCGACGAGGTCATTGAACGTGTCAAGCACCTCAACGACGATGAGTCAGTCAGCGGCATCCTCGTTCAGCTCCCACTGGGTGATCACGTCGATGCCGAGGGTGAGCGTCTCGTGACCGAGGCGGTTAGTCCTCAAAAGGATGTCGATGGGTCAGTTGCGCATTCACCCCCTCTGTCTACTCTCTAACACTTGGGCAGATTCCATGCCTACAACATTGGTCATCTCTCATCTCGCGCCTCCGTCCCTCTATTTGCTCCCTGCACCCCTCCGCCGTCATCCGTCTTCTTGAATCTACTGGTGTCTCCATCTCTGGCGCAAATGCAGTTGTATTAGGCCGCAGCGACATCGTTGGCAGCCCTGTCGCTTCCATGCTCCGCAACAAAGATGCCACCGTAACCCAATGTCACAGCCGCACCAAAAACATTGAATCCATCGTGCGATCTAGCCTTTTTCTCCTTATAGTTACCTCTATCTGACTCGATCCAGATCAAGACCGCTGACATCCTCGTGTCTGCTATCGGCAAGGCAGAGTTTGTCAAGGGTGAGTGGATCAAGCCGGGCGCAGTGGTAATCGACGTTGGAATCAATTACGTGCCTGGTAAGTGTAATTACGCGTCTTATAGTTCATTTCCTTCATACTCTGGATAGACTCTACCAAGAAATCGGGTCAGCGCTTGGTTGGCGATGTTCACTTTGCGGAAGCTTCGACCGTCGCGTCTCACATCACACCCGTTCCTGGAGGCGTCGGTCCGATGACCGTGGCACTTCTCATGGAGAACACGCTTACCTCGGCTGAAAGACTATGGCAGACAGCTAGAAACCGCAAGGTCAAGCCCTTGAAGTTGGACATTCTCGAAAAAGTACCGTCGGATATCGAAATCTCCATGGCGCAGACACCAAAGCCCGTCACTCAGCTTGCCCACGAAATAGGATTGCTCCCCGATGAACTAGAAAGTTACGGCAAGTACAAGGCCAAGGTTGAACTGAGCGTTCTCGACCGTCTGTCGCACCGCACGGATGGTAAATACATTGTCATCTCCGGGTATGTTTCCTTGGTCTAGATGACTCAATTCATTAACTGGGTTTAGTATCACACCCACGCCGCTTGGGGAGGGTAAATCTACCACCACCATCGGTCTTGCACAGGCTTTGGGTGCCGAACTTGGGCGTCCCGCTTTCGCATGCATACGGCAGCCCAGTCAAGGTCCCACCTTTGGTATCAAGGGTGGTGCAGCTGGAGGTGGATACAGCCAGGTCATTCCTATGGACGAGGTATGCATTAAGGTTATGTCAACAACAGTAGCTAATGTTCCTAGTTCAACCTTCATCTGACGGGCGATATCCATGCTGTGACCGCTGCGAACAACTTGCTTGGTATAGTCGCTGTATTCTTCTTGATAAATAGGCTCTTACCTGCGACCTAGCTGCTGCTCTGGATGCGCGTATCTTCCACGAAGCTACTCAATCTGACAAGGTTCGCTTTTCTACTAGTGAGTCTACTCCAAACTGACCTCTTTCAGGCGCTTTATAGTCGTCTCGTCCCAACAAAGAAGGGCAAGCGCGAGTTTGCTCCCTTAATGTTCAAGCGCCTCCAGAAGCTCGGCATTGACAAGACCAACCCCAATGACCTTACCCCGGAAGAAATCACCAAATTTGCCCGCCTCGACATCGATCTGGACAGCATCACCTGGAATCGCGTTCTCGATACCAATGACCGTTTCCTGCGAAAGATTACTATTGGGCGCAACCCGACTGAGCAGGGTCATGAGCGTGAAACCGGTTTCGACATCGCTGTGGCTAGCGAGTGTATGGCCGTCCTTGCGTTGACGACTGGTCTAGAGGATATGAAGCAGCGCCTTGGTGCCATGGTCGTAGCCACGAGCAAGAGCGGTGACGCTGTCACTGCCGACGATATCGGTGTTTCTGGTGCTCTTGCTGTCCTTTTGAAGGATGCTATCAAGCCTAACTTGATGCAAACTCTCCAGGTAAGACTTTATAATCGAGTTGAGCAATGACTGACTCGAACACGGCAGGGCACTCCCGTCTTTGTCCATGCCGGTCCGTTTGCCAACATCGCGCACGGAAACTCTTCTATCCTTGCTGACCGAGTTGCTCTGAAACTCGCCGGTACCGAAGAAGGAGATTCTGCTGATCGTGTTGGCTACGTCCTCACCGAGGGTGGCTTTGGTGCTGACATGGGTATGGAGAAATTCTGCAACATCAAGTGCCGGGTCAGTGGCCTCAAGCCAGACGCTACCGTTATTGTCGCTACGACTCGGGCCCTGAAGATGCATGGCGGTGGACCCGAGGTTACACCAGGCAAGGCACTGCACGAGACGTACACTAAGGAGGACCTCGTCACTCTCAAGGAGGGATGCAAGAATCTTGTCAGGCACATCGAGAACTCGAAGAAGTTTGGTATCAAGGTTATTGTCGCCATCAACCAGTTCGCGTATGTGTTTTGAGTCTCCTTCACTTGTTGTTCACTGACACGTCCTGGACATAGCTCCGACTCTCAAGCTGAGCTCGACCTTGTGCGTGCCGAATCATTAGCTGGCGGCGCCGATGCTGCTGTTGTCAGCAACCATTGGGCAGAGGGAGGTGCCGGTGCTCGTGCGCTTGCTGAGGCCGTCATAGCTACCTGCGAAGGTCCCTCAGGCTTCAAATACTTGTACGACTTGAACCTTCCGATCGAGGAGAAGATCTCTATCATCTGCAAAGAGATCTATGGGGCCGACGGGATTGAGTTGAGTGAATTGGCCCAGAAACAGGTCGACACGTACGCGCGGCAAGGCTATAACAATCTCCCGAGTACGTATGACCGCTATGCTATGTTTCTGATTTGTTGACGTCTTGCAGTTTGCATGGCCAAGACTCAGTACTCCTTCTCACATGATCCCAAGCTCAAGAACGTTCCATCAGGTATTACACTCTTCATCATGTTTGTGCGTCCCGATTCTCATATTTTCTAGGCTTCACCGTACCCATCCGTGCTGTACGACTTTCTGCAGGGGCTGGATTCTTGTACCCTCTCCTCGGAGACATGCAGACGATGCCTGGACTCGGAACACGTCCTGGCTTCTGGGAAGTCGGACTTGACCCCGAGAACGGACGGGTCATTGGACTGTTCTGATTTTCCACTCTAGACATATGCTGCTCTCAACGAGCGTTTAGACGCATGGGTATCTTCACCAGGTACAATCAGGACGTGGAGAAGCCGTCTCAACACGGGCGATTAGACTGTTCAACAGAGACGAAGGGCGCACGTCCGGGGTTTTTCTGTGGACCTGTTACTAGAGTAGAGGCGGAACATTACTATTCTGTAGATGTTAAGTATTCGATGATACACCGCTCCCTCCAGAAGGGTTAGTCAGCCTGCGACTGAAAATCAGTTACACTTGTCCACACATTTATCACGTCTCAGACTAGTAGCAGCCTTGTTAATCGTTTTATAAGTACAAGAAGCGCCATCTTTGGTTTTTGTTTGAATAGGCGGCACTTCTACTAGACTGCAACGGGTAAACCCAACTATTGCCCGTGTAGCTCAGTGGTAGAGCATTGTACTTATGAGGTTATCCTATCCCAGCTAATGCAAGGGTCTCCAGTTCAATCCTGGGCATGGGCAGCTTTTTTACTCTGTAGGCTGGTGCAGTAAACCTCCCGCGGGTGTTAGTTAGGGTGGCGCAGTAAACCTCCGCGGGGTGTTAGTAACGCCGACCAGGAGGCCCTGGTTTTGAAACCGTTAGTAACGGTTTCGATACCGGCACGTGCTTTTACCACGTGATGTGGCGCACCGCTCCGCCGCCCTCCGCCCGCCCTTATCCCGCCACTTTCTGCTTGCCTGAGTGCCAGCGCGCCATCACGTGAATTTGTCACGTGTTGGTATCAAAACTGTACAGATACCTCGGCCGAGGTTTCGATACCGTATCAATACCGTTACTAACCGCAGTAAACCCGAGGTGTATCAAAACCTAGGGTTTACTTCACCACCCTAGTGTTAGTAACGGTGACGCCCCGGGAGGCTATGGTTTTGAAACTGTTACTAACGGTTTCGATACCGGCACGTGCATAAACACGTGATGGTGGCGCACCGCCGCACCCCCGCCCCCATCCCGCCTTTGTCCTGCCGCTCTCAGCTTCTCCCTGCACTAGCGTGCCAGTATCGAAACCTACCTCTCAACCCCCGAGGGTTTCAATACAGTATCAGTACTGTTAATAACCGCAGTAAACCCGAGGTGTATCAAAACCTAGGGTTTACTGCACCAGTGACCACCCTACAATTCTGTCTTCAATAATGATTTTTGATTCTTTTTTAGGGTTGTGCACTGTGCAGTACTTACTTACTGCTTACTGAGCAAACCGCCCGGAGGTGTTAGTAATGGCTGTGCAGTGTGCCCCCAGGCATCAGGTACTGTTAGTAACATTTCAATACCAGCACAGGATGTGGTGCACCCGGCCTCATCCTACCCTTGTCCCGCCGCTCTCAGCTTCTCTGAATGCCAGCGTACCATCATGCGAAATGATCACATGCTGGTGTTTCGATACTGTATTACTATTCTTCTTGTATGGCATCAATGGCCATGGTGTTGCCTTCATGTACATGGAAATGAAATGATTACAGCAGTGAGATGCAGGATGCGGCAAGAAAATGTAATTAATGCTTCTTGGTCTGAAGATATGCTGGGACAGAAGAAGGAGGTGGCATAGTGGATGAACTTGCTTTTGGCGGTGGTGATGGTTTATCCAATCGTGCAGCAACCGTATCGACCATACTCATCGTCAACCTCAATTTATCCCACAACATCGCATATATCTCCCCTTCTCGTTGGGTAATTGAGCTGGCCAACTTGGAATGGAGGTCGAGGAGTGTCACATTCAGCGCTTCTCGTATCTGAGGAATGACTGTCGTCTCGATATACGGCTGCATGACAGAAGGTGTAAGCAGTGATGCTGAGGCCGGCCCAGCATTGTTGTTCATATATGCCTCGAGCGCCTGGTTAAGAGTTTTCAATTCCTTCTCATCGCTTGCCTTGTTGGCTTCGACTCTGTCAAGACGCTCTCGCAGCTACGCCCCAATAAGCCTACGATCAGAAGAAATAAGGATAGACTAACCTGTGCCAGCTCGTCACGAAGTTGGTGAACCTCGTTATTGGTGGATTCTCTGTCTTTTTTGATGTTACCACTCTCTAGGATCAGACCCGCGAGATCTGTGGATAAGGTTATCAAGTCGCTATGCAACTTGTCAGCTCGGGCCTTTGTGTCGGCGCGCCACTTCGCCTCGGAATCTCCCTTTGCCGCCTCAATTTGTGCATGACGCGTTTCAAGTATCTCGACAATCTCCTCTTTGATCTCACGGTCGTGCTGCGTGACCGCGTTATGGAGTTCCGTCAGATTATCCTCCAGCCCGTCGAATCCCTCGCGAATCTCCGTCATCTGGGAGTTTGAAACCTGGACCTCCCCGCTTTCGAGACGTTGTCGCTTCAGAGGACGCGCCTCCCCGACAGGGCGCCAGCCTTTGGAAAACGGTTCCTGAGATCCAGCATCGACATCCATGCCATTCTCTTCACATTGCTCCTGGCGGATTTGATTGACAGTCTGAGTTAAGGAAGTGATGCTTGATTTTAGAGTGTCGAGCGTGACGAGCATGTCGTCGTGCTTGTTGCGGACTGCATCGGCGCCAGGGCGCGGACCAGTGGGCCAGTCGTCATTCTTAGCAATGCGATGAACAGTGCGATGAAGGTCGTCGTTGTCCTTTGTCAGGCGCTGCGTGAGCTCATCCAGGCTCTTCTGCATATTGGAAAGAAGGACGGGGTTTGTCTGGATCTTCATGGAGCGCTCCAACGCGTGTTTCGCGTGCATAGTCTTGTCGCATTTGTCGTACAACTTGAGCCAATCTTCGAAATGCCTGCGAACGATGAGCCAATGAATGAAAAGAGCCGGACGGAGACATACGAGAAACGCTGTCTCCATTCGTTGCGTTTGGCATCCACAGTTTGGGCACTGTTGCTCTTGCCTGACAGTGGCTGCATTGGCGGAGCAGCAGGCGGTGGCGCTACAGGATCCAATGCTGGTGCTGCCACTGGTGGAGGTGGTGGTGGTGGCGGAGACATTGCGGAACTGCTAGGTGGAGGCGGCGGCATCATGCTGCTCGCTGAGGTAGGCGGCGGGCCCCAGGACGTGCGCCTGTCTTCGCTGCCAGCGGGCGACCATGGTCGATTGCTAGGGGCACTGCTAGGCGGGATGGGGGATGTAGGTTTCCTGCGTGGGTCTCTCGTGGGCGCGTCTCCGTCTCTGTCGCGGTCCCTCGACGTGTACGACGATGAGTGGAATGCTCTGTCCATGGGTGGCCGGGGTCGATCGTAGGGCGAAGTACTGGGTGGCAATAGCTTCCACTTAGATTCGTCGGATGAACAAAGTCGCAGTCTCTGCCGTAGCGACAGCCTCTGCCGATGGGCTCCCCGTTTTCGTCGAAATGCTAAGTAAAGTAGCGGTTAAAATCCGAATCGGTGTAGTAGGAATCCTCGCAGATCCCTAATTATACGTACAAAACAACGCTTGTGCTTCATTTCACGATCAAGTACAGAGTATAAAGAGAAGTTTCCTAATATGGAGGCAATATTTCACCCTCTTCAGCTTCTAGTCCCTTACTGCTCGAGAGATCGTCCATTACATCTAGTGTAGGATTCAAAAGTCCCTCCACACGACCGCAAAAATCCTTACTCTCAAGGTCGAACCGTGCTTTGAACTTTTCCGCAATTGATCTTTCATCTACTATCCGCCGCATCGTTTCGTACCCAGGCCGATTGGCGAAAGCGAGCTCGTTCGGCAGCCTCTCTAACAACTGCTGGGTCTCAGGCTCTGTCTTCTCCATCTGCGTTAGACGATCCAACATCTATCATGCTTTGAATCTACTTGGTCCCTTGGAAACGTGTGGAACTTACTGTCTGTACCTCGAGCCGGGCAGAGGATAAGGACTGAGCTGTCTTTCTCTCTTCGGTGCCCAAATCCGCACGAATGGCTTGAAAGATCGTTCGTGCTTCTTGCGCATCTGTGGCGGCACTCTCGAGATCATAGTCAAAACCTATGGTCCGACCAACGCGTAGATCAGCGTCCATCGCTTGTTTAATGCGCGGGCCGCTCTCTCTGACCCAGGAGCCTGCGTCCACGATGTCCTGTCTCTGCTTCATTGTTGCTTTAGGTCCATCCGGCAACTTCGCCACTACTAGACGCAGTTGATTTCTTGCTTCCTCATCTCGAGCGGCCAAATTCTCGAACAATGTTCCGGCGATTTTGTCTCGGCCTTCGTCGATGGTCCAGTTAATCCCAAGGCGCGCCATTGTCTTCTTGTATTGTTGACTGTGGCGGCGCGCTTGCAACTGCTTGGCGGCATAACCAACTAGCCTAAATGACAGGGCTTAGAATCAACATGTCACAGCGATATTGGCGAGGACGTACGAAATCATACACTTGATATATTCTTCTCTCGACGAGGCCAGAGGCGTATCATCCCTCTGGAGGAGTTCCTGTGGAACGGGAAACTCGCCGGGCTGCCTTTTCTTCTCTTTGTGACCGCCGTCGTTATTCTGACCATTGTCTACACTTGGACATTCGTTCGCCTATGCATGTTCTTAGTGGTCAGCGATACGGCAGGGAGGAAACTGCCCACCTCGGCCATCTCAACATCGTTCGTTTCCATCACGGCGACCAAGAGTGGGGATGGACTGCGCTGTCATTATATGGAACCCACGTTGGCGCTTCTGCCTAGTCATTGAGCGCCATATTCTTTCCCATGTTACTCGATGCTGATCATTCCAGAAGTCACCGGGAAGCCAAAGTTTGAGTTACAAACCAAATATCCCAGATCCTCTATTTGCTGCAGGGGCGGGGTCCAAACCATGGTACGATGGGTAGAGAGGCAAGTCCTGGGCCTTACAGAGGAGGGGGTGAGAGGTACTCGCTGTGGCCCTCCGAGTTGAAGGTACGCATGCTCCCCGAGAACAGTGTGATTGCAGCTGAGAAATGCATTAGGTTCATCGAGTCGTGGGTCAGTTCACGAATTGAAAGCCCGTCATCTCCGCTAGAAAGTCGTGAACCTGGACGTCTAAGCGTGATGGAACGGGAACGGGGACTTCCAAGTTCCACGACACAAGAGATGCGTTGTCATCCTTCCGCGCGACACCGCGTCGCGCGGAATGAGCTGCTCAAAGGGCAGTCTGCTCCGACTTGGGTGCGGCGGTATCGCGCTCCGTGGAGGTAGCACTTGGGGAACGAGATGATATCGGAGGTTACAACTTGGCGTCAACTTCCATCACTGGTTTACCGAGCATTCATGTACCTAGGGCAGCCAGGCCGGTCGACACCGTTGGGACCTCGTTGACTCGATGGAGGATCTGTTATTGCTATTGCGCCACTCTCGTCGGAGGGCAATTACTTGGGTTCTGCGTGCCGTTCTATGCGAGGAACATTCGGTCTGGTGCAGGAAATAGAGAGCTCCAGGCTCCCTGGTCATGTTTTGTACAACAAATCCTAATTCTATCGTATCAAAAGTGCATCCTCCCAGTCCCACCTACAGTGAGACATCCAATACAAGCCAGGTACATACGTGCGTAACGATTCGTCGAGGAT